ATGCCTAGCCATGCCTCCACTCATGGAAAGCTGTCTCGATTGCTAATAATCTTTTTTTAAAGATGTCATAATTGCTTGATAAAACATGGGGGGAAAAGGCACAAGGGAATAAATCCCCCCTTCTTTTGTAGGCTGGAGAACTGCCATGGGAGGGTGGAGGGGTCTTGGTGAGGAAGTAGAGCAGGGGTGTTAAACTCAAGCCCATGGGGCAGATTCGACCCATGGGGTGCTTAGTTCCGGCCTACGGGGCCCGCCTAGAAATATCAAAAGACTGGCCCGTGGTACCTCTGCAGGCCAAAACGGCCTGCGGGAGGCAGGGGTCGCATGAGCCCCCCCCCCCCCCGGTGGCCCATTTTTTGCTGGCAGTGTGTTGCAGGAAGCCGTGGAGGCCGAAAATGGGCCATGGGGTGGGGGTCGCGCAAGCGCCCTCCCCGCAGCCTGTTTTTGGCTGGCAGGGTGCTGCAGGAGGCGTCTGTCCCATGTGTACACACACACCTCGCCACCGGCCCGCAGAGGAGAACTGCAATGCTGATCCGGCCCTCAAAGAAATCCACGCCTGGAGTAGAGACTGAGAAGCGGAGAACTGTTTTAACTCCTGAAATGCCAATTGCTTGAGAAGAAAATATATTTCCCTTCTTTCATAGCTGTGTGAAAGTTTTAACCGTGGGGGCAAAATTAGGGAGTGGACTTTCTGGAAAAATTGGCAATCCCAGGAAGTGTTTTATGTAGCTTATACATTGCAGGATGGAGAAAACTGCCTACACCTTGACTGTTGCCTTTTTGTGGATATCCTATGCTTCTGTTGTGGCTCCGTTACCTGAGCCTGTGTTATCGGCAGGAGAGGATTCCGAGAGTGAAGGAGAGGAGTTGGCAAGGCCTCCCTCTCCAGGACCCTCCTCTCTGGCAATGCCTTCGGTGTCCTCCGAAAGTCAAGAGATAGGCCCGGGGCCAAGCACGTCCACGCAGCCACAGGTGGACAGTAATGAGGAAGATGAGTGTTGGCTGGACCCTCGGCAGCGTCGCAGAGATAAGCACGCGCAGCAGAAGAAGAGGCGTGCCAGGGATTAGGCTGAGTCACTGGATCACACCCCACAGGGTATAAAAGAGGGTGTGGTGGCCGGTTCAGCTCTGTGACAAGCAAAAAACGGATATCGGACGACCTTCTTTGTATTTACTGGACTTTGTTGATTATTGTGTATTGGCTTTGTTCCCGGACGAAGGGAGAAACTCCCCCGTTGTGAGTAAAGAATACCTGGCAGCCAGCCACTGGGTTGCTGCCAATTCTGATACCGGATAAACTGTTGTCGTCTGAGTTCTTTAACTGTTGCCTGTCTGTGGGGGTGCGTGTGTGAGACGGGGACAGAACAGCTTTAACTGCTGAAGATTGAACAGGGGCTTTTTCAGTTTAGGAAAAAGGTTATTTATTATCTGTTAGCCTTTGCAAGACATTCTTGACATGCGCAAAATGAGATTCTGTGTCCTCCGAATAGATTAAAATGTCAGCCAAGTAAATCACAACATATTTATCAATTATAGCAGAAAAAACCAGATTCGTGAATCTGGACAATACGGCTCCACAATTTCTTACACAAAAAAGCATCACGATATATAGTCAAACTACCCATACCTTGTACTGAAGGCAGTTAGGTACTTTCTTTCACTCAAATGAGATCCTATCAGACCTGGGCATTTTACAGTCCTTGGGACACATTTGGCCCGAGGTGATCCCAGTCTAGCCTGCAGTATCAGGGGCATCGGAGGTGAGGATGGGGTGTTGGCAACAAGGATATGGCATCAGCAGAGGAGGTAGGACAACATCAACAGAGGGCAGGGGGGCATGCAACGTCGGCAGAGCGGGCAGGATGGCAGTGACAGAGAATAGGGCAGCAGCTAGGGTGGCAGTGGCAGCTCTCCACAACAGTCCGTTGCTCATGTGATCCCTTGGGAAAACTAATTGCCCACCCCTGGATTATATGCTAAAATTTAGTTTTGCAAATATATTGGTCTCTTGCAAGCTAGCTAACAAAGCTGATATTAATGGAAGTGGGTAATGATTCCAGATCATGACCTTGTTGAGGTCCTTGCAATCATGGGCTGTGCACATGGCAATCTTGGTCTCTGGGCCAAAGCCACCTGAGGTTCTGGTTTCTCTGGTACAAGAAAGGTTGGTGCTGATGCTGGGGATTTCAGTGGTCTGATAAATCTCTTCCTTAAATTAATATCCAAGTATTCTTTCAGAATGGCTAACTCCTTGACTGATGTAGACGTAGGATATTCATTCACTCCCTCGTCTCTCTCTCTCTCTCCCTTGCCCTCTCACCCTCTCTCTCTCTTGGACATAAGGTAAAGATAAAGGTTCCCCTCACACATATGTGCTAGTCATTCCCGACTCTAGGGGGCGGTGCTCATCAACGTTTCAAAGCCGAAGAGCCAGCGCTGTCCGAAGACGTCTCCGTGGTCATGTGGCCGGCATGACTAAACGCCAAAGGTGCACGGAACGCTGTTACCTTTCCACCAAAGGTGGTCCCTATTTTTTCTACTTGCATTTTTTACTTGCTTTCGAACTGCTAGGTTGGCAGAAGCTGGGACAAGTAACGGGAGCTCACCCCGTTACGCGGCACTAGGGATTCGAACCGCTGAACTGCCCACCTTTCGATCAACAAGCTCAGCGTCTTAGCCACTGAGCCACCAAGTCCCCCTTTCTTGGACAGCTTGTCTATTTGGACACTGCCCAGAGTCTCTCTATAAGGGAGACAGGAGCAACTCAGTGTTGGAAGATGGAAAGTTAGGAAGTTCAGTTGAGGGAAATCTGTGGCATTTGCAGGTTGCTTTTTTTTTTTTTTGACAACTTGTGGGCCACTTTTAAGGGAGTGCTAGCTATAAACATTTTGAGCATCTGGCAATATGTAGGGGGAGGAAAAGAACCTGACCAGAGTCTGAAAAGTCACCAAGCCTGCAAATGAAAACAATCCACAGCATACAGCAACCTAATGCAGAGCTCTACAAAACAGCTCCATCAATAGATAATTGTGAATATTTGGAGAGGGAGCGAAGCACTCCATTTGCAAGAGGAATGAAAAGAGTTTCCACATGCAAATGAACTGAGATTGGCTATGAGAGCTGAAGACCTGGGGAGGGGGGGATATTTAAGGAGAAAAGAAATAGTTCAGATAAGGAAATATAGTGGTACAAAAGCAGAAGAGAAACGGCTACTTCATGTCTTTCTCCTTAACGGCTATCCAAAAAACTTCACATTCTGACACACAGCACCCAAACCACACCACACAGCCAACCACCACACAAAAACTAACCCTACCATTCAAAAAAAGGGAATGTCGGAAATGACAGCCAGAATCCTCCAACCCCTAGGAATAACAATAGCCCACAAACCCAGAAACCATGCTCCGTCAGGAATTATCCAGAACCAGAAGACAAAATACAGATGGATGAAAAAAACAATGTAATCTATAAAATCAACTGTAACCATGGCAACCAATTCTATGTGGGACAAACATCACCTCAATTAAAAACCAGGATCCACCAACACCGGCTGGCAATCAAAAGCCATGATCCTAAATCCTTAATCTCTACCCACCCCGACGCCCAAACAGCACCAGTTTGATTGGAGCAACACAAAATCATCAGCCACTCTACCACCCGCCATGCTCATAAGTTCATGGAAGCCTGGCACTCCACAAGCAATTCCATCAACAGATACATTGACCTACAACCAGCCTACGAAGCCCTCAGAATCCAATTCAACCACACAGCCAACCAGAAGCAGCACCAACCCTCAACCAACCCACACAATTCCCTACCACCAGCAGTTCACCTCCCAAAAACCTTGACCTGATGTAACTTCCCCATCACAAGACCTGTCAAAAGACTCTCACTTGACACACCCATACCTGATCCATCACAAGACCCTCACCTGACATACCCACACCTGAAGCCCTTATCAACAGGGGAACACTGACACTGACATCCCCTAAACTCCGCTGAAGATGTTACCTAGCCTGGTAACAAAATGTTCGAAAACCAACCCACAAATTTAGAGAATGAACCTCCTTCACCCTCACATAAGTACTACAAACCTAGGAATTGGAACACAGAAATAGAACACAGAGATAGAATTGTATAGATTAAATAAGAATAGAAATAATTGTAAATTTATTTACAAATAGCAATAGCACTTAGACTTACAGTATATACCGCTTTATAGTGCTTTCCAGCCCTCTCTAAGTGGTTTACAGTCTCAGCATATTGCCCCTAACAATTTGAGTCCTCATTTTACCCACCTCGGAAGGATGGAAGGCTGAGTCAACCGTGAGCCTGGTGGGATTTGAACTGTCAAATTGTAGGCAGTCTGCAGGCAGCAAAAGTAGCCTGCAGCACTGCATCACCATGGCTCATAAATAAGTTTACTTGTAAATTTATATATAGTAATACAAAGATAGAATAAGCTATGTGGGGAAACAAGCACAGAATTTGCTTAAAGTTTAGAAGTAAACAGTGGGAATTTAATTTTGAACAATAAAATAGCGTTGTGTGAAAAAAACAAATACAGTCTTTGTTGTCTGTGCTTTGTACCATATTAAGAAAATTCCTACTGTTTTGTCTTCCCAGATTAGCAAATGTTCTTGGATTTCCTAAACGGTTTCCAGTTAAAGTAGTAACTACAACTGCCAAGGCTTAGTTTCCACACTCTGACAAGATTAGCACAGTGAGGCACACTAGGGGAGATTGCACTTCTAAATAGCAGTATCATGAGATAAAAATCTATCATGTTATGTGTGAAAACCATAACCTTGGTATAAGTTTTGGAATGTGCATAGTGAAATGAAAAGTCAAACAATATCTGCCTGCAAAGAAAAAACTACAAACGTTAAGACAATGTTAAACATTGAGGGCAAAAATCTATCTAGCATTCTGTTTGAACAAAGAGACACTTGAATGCACAGACGCGCGCGCGCGCGCACACACACACACACACACATTACCTGTAATCTCATTCTCTTCAAGGTTGATCATCTCAAGAGCTTGCAAAGAAGTCAGCTGGTCAGGAAAAGTATGAAATTTGTTCCTGGATAGGTTGATAATTTTCAGATGTAACAGGGTTCGGACCTCTTCTGGCAGGTGATGAATATAATTCCCTTCCAGATTAAGTTCTGCAATTGGACAGGATGGACAATCAATAAAAATGCAAATTAACTCTTACAATCATTCAAATCAAAGTTTTTTTGACTTCGGAAAATATTCCTATTTTTAATTATAGCGGGAGAAAGATAATAAAGAAAAATAGGTATCTACATAGAATTTGGGTTCATTTACCTACCATATTTCCCCGAAAATAAGACCCTGTCTTATAGTTTTTTGAACCCTGAAATAAGCGCTTGGCCTTATTGCCATGTGCTCAAAAGCTCGATTGGGCTTATTATCAGGGGATGTCTTATTTTGGGGAAAACAGGGTAGTTTTAGGAGTTGTACAGAGAACAGATCTCATTTCAGGTCATATTTATGCAGAAATATTGGAAATTCAAAAGGTGTAACAAACTTTTAAGAATTGTAGAAGGCTTCATCTATGGAAGTTTAGAAGAACTGCCTATTCCAAAAATTTCATATATTAAAACCTTGGAAGATAACACAATCTCTTTTAATATTCTTTCTAATCAGAAATCTATGGAAATCATTGCACTGTAGGTAATTTTTCACAATAAAAACAATGCCTATAATACGATGCATAAAGTGAGGAGTCCTTGGTACTCTCTGAGCTTGCTTGTTTTCTTGAAAATGTTTCATTACCCAAACTAGGTAACTAGGTCATTAGTGTTTAAAGCATTCATAATCAGACATTACTTTGAAGAATGTAATGTACTGTTCTAAACCATTATCTGTCAACCATTTTTTGAAATGCAATTGATATAAAAAAAAAATTAATGGGAGTGTCTTCCTGTCTGCATATTTGGGAAGTTGTATATTTTTAGATAACGGATAGCTTCTGCCTTTTGGGATCAACCATCAACGGTAAAGGATCAAGCAGTCATAAAATATGCTGCAAATCATCCTTGGTAGAGCAGCCATAGAGGGCTTGAGAAGATATTCAGATGCCGTGATGTGTCTATACCAGGAGTGAAATCCTTTGAAGTCTGCTACCGGTTCTGTGAGTCTGCTACCAAGTGTGCACTTCACGCATGCATGCATGCGTGCTTGAGGCATGCCAACGCAGCGCTAAAAAAGGAACATTTTGAAGCCTTCCGAGTCTGCAAAGGTAAGTAGAACAGCGAGGGAGGGGATCCGCTGTACCACGTGATTTAGATTAGCTAGAAAGCAGGAAATCCAACCATTCTAGCTAATATAAATCGCACGTCACAGCTGATTGCCACCCAGCTGATCATCGGAAATACCAGTTCACCTGAACCGGTAGCATTTTTTACAACTGGTTCACCTGAACCGGTCCGAACCGGTAGCATTTCACCCCTGGTCTATACCTACAAAGATCAAAACAGTACAAGTAAATTCCCTATGATACTGTTGAAGTCAGAATTGGGCTTCGAAAAAGCAGTGTAGGAACAGAATAAATGTTTTTGAACTTTGGTATTGGGTAGGCCTTCTGAGAATATTGGGGACTCCCATGAAAACAAATCAATGTATCACTGAACAAATCAACTCCAAGTTCTCACTAGAGGCACAAATGAGCAGGCTCAAATTATTCTCCTTCAGACACATTATGTGAAAACCTAACTCTCTGGAAAAGTCTCTAATAATGGGAAAGGTGGAAGGAAAGAGAAGATGACAAGCAGCTGCATCGGAGATGGCTATGGTTACAGGAGCAATGGGTACATTATTGGAAGTAAAAGAAAGAACAAGTAGGGAATTTTTGTCATGGTGAAGATATCATCACCAAGAGTTGACATTAATTTGAGGGTGCATAATCAAAAATAATTCAAACTGGAAGAATTGCAGATGTTTTCATAGTTGTGAAAACTATCTTTTGAAGATGCCCTGAACTCATGGTGGCTAAGGAATTGGTCCATGGAATTTTCAACATTTTTCTAAAATGGCTTGCCAGTATCTTTTTCCTAAGTTTAGAGCAGGAGTGTCAAACTCAAGGCCCAAAGGCCGTATCCGGCCTACAGGGTGCTTAGTTCCGGCCCACAGTGCTGTCCTAGAAATATCAAAGGACCGGCCTGTGGTACCTCTGATGGCCAAAATGGGCTGTGAGGGGGGGGTCACATGAGGCCCCCCCCACAGCCCAATTTTGGCCAGCGGGGTACTGCAGGAGGCATCCGTCCCATCTCCCCCACCCCACCCCGCCGGCCCGCGTAGAACTACAATGCTGATCCGGCCCTCAAAGTAATCCAGTTTGACACCCCTGGTTTAGAGAGAACAACTGTCCCGGTGTCCCTTAGCCAGATTTGGTACCACAAGAACTCTTTTTTTTCTTTTTTTACAACCCTTTAATCAACTCATCTTCATGATCATTTGCAGTATCCCATGATCCCGTGACTGTGATTTGTAACGTTTTTTCCCCCAGTTTCTGGAGTTTACTTCCAGTTTCTGACTAAAAACACACATCAGAGAAAATGGATTCACTTAACAACTGCACATTCGCGGGACAAGCAGAGCAAAAAATGTCAAAAAAAATCTGCTCTGATTACATGATCCCTCGATTTACAACCACAATGACTAAGAACTGTAATTCTGGGCTCAATTGCAACTGTAGGTTGAGAAATACCCGTATTGGAAAGTCCCTGAATGTCAACGGTCTGCCTGCTGGCATATTGTAGGAAAGAGGTCCAAGCAAGTCCACTCCCACTATATATGTTGCCTACAACATTGAAACAGATAGATAACAGAAAGATAAGGAGGTAATGTAATCACTCAGTGCCATTTCCTCCAGAATGCTTTAATGGGTATTCAGTTGACCTTATTGTTCTTTTTCACGTTTTTGGTATCCTTCCTGATGGTATCAAAATGTACCATAAACAGTTATGTTTATTTGCATTCCACTGGCTTTCAGTCGACCATCTCTACTCCAGGGTTACAGTACAGGGTGTTTAGGTTAAACATCTACATGATTCTTGCTCTGTAGGGCAACCTACATTAACTGAGGCGAGACTAGGCTGGGTTCAACAGGAACGATTTATTAGCTAACAGTAACAAGAACGGCTCGAGTAAAACAGAACAACAACTTGGGAGTTTGACAGCTATTTATACTGTAGCTGTCAAACTATGTAACCAATAGGAGGTCAGGATTCTCCCGCCAAGTCCATGCGTCTTGGCCAATCAGGGGTGCGCATCGTAAGTGCGAGGATTTAACAATTCTATCAAAAGCCATCATAACATTTCTATATATTTCCATATACCGCATTTTTCAGAGTATAAAACGCACCTTTTTACCCCCCAAAAGGGGGTCAAAATTTAGGTGCGTCTTATACACTGAATGTAGCCCTGCCCACCCACTGGCCCCCACCCTTTGGCCTGTGCCTCCCAGCAGTTACCTCCTTGCAAGCAAACAGCAAGAAAAAACAGCTCCTTTCAGCTTCATCATAGGTTAATTAGCACAAGTTGATTAGATCGGCCTCCTGACTCTCAGCTGATTTGCTCTCAGCTGTTTTTCGAAGGGCTCTGGCTGCTTGCTTCAAAGAGTGCTGCGGCAGATTTTTTTTTTCCTAGCTGTGCTGAAAAACGAAACTGAAAGTAAAGCTCTTTGCGGCAACCTGGCAAAATGAGGCAGAGAGATTTCTTTTTCTTTTTCCTCACCAAAAAAGGTAGGTGCAAACAATGGGAAATTTAGGGTAAAAGAGGAGAGTTCAAGATTTTAAAACACAAAAGAAAAAAAGCTCTATTTAACTAGGGAATTGTAATAATTGAGATACTATTAATTGTATATTGTGTTGAAAGCAGAAATGGTTAAGTTGTGGTTTGGAGGAATATATGGGGGAAATTATTTGGTTTATTATTATTGGTAAATATAATTAATTGATTTGTAAGAAATTGGATTGCATGGAAATAATTCGAATATTCATGTTCATATTGATTAGTATACAAAAAAGACAGTTATATAACTAATTGATTTATGTAAAAATGTTGAATTTGTATTAAACAATTGTAATATTAAATAATTAACCAATGTGAGAATGGATATAAAAATAGATGACAATGGGAAGGGGTATAATATAGAATAGAAGGGAAAAATTGAATGTGATTAAGATTAGAGATGAGAATGAAGGGTAATATTGGTTTTTTTTAAAAAATAGATGAGGAATAAATATGGCAAAAAGGAAATATAGAAATTGTAACTTTAATTGAAATGACTAAACACTGTTTAAATTTGTGAACCAGCCAAATACTCTGTTCAAAGAAAATACGTTGCATGTTTGTATATGTGTTTGTCTAAAAAATAAAAAAAAAACTTTTAAAAAAAACAACCAAAAAAGGTAGGTGCGTCTTATACTCCAGTGCGCCTTATACTCCGAAAAATACGGTACTTATTATCATGTGGAATGCTCTATACCACCACACAGACCAGAGATTTGACATTATCTAATGATAATGCACCCCAACGATGCCCTTGAAGTGATGTCCCAGTGCCTGGAGGCCGTGCGGGCCTGGATGGGGAGAAACAGGCTCCGACTCAACCCTTCCAAGACCGACTGGCTGTGGCTTCCGGCGTCCCGATATAGCCAGCTGGTGCCATCGCTGGCTATTGGGGCGAATCATTGGCCCCCACGGAGAGGGCTCGCAACTTAGGCGTCCTCCTGGATGCACGGCTGTCTTTAGAAGAGCATATGACGGCCATGGCCAGGGGGGCTTTCTATCAGGTTCGCCTGATACGCCAGTTGCGTCCCTTTCTGGATCAGGACTCCCTACGCACAGTCACTCAAGCACTCGTCACTTCCCGCCTGGACTACTGCAATGCTCTCTACATGGGGCTCCCCTTGGGGTGCACCCGGAGGCTGCAGTTGGTCCAGAATGCGGCCGCGCGGGGGATTATGGGAGCGACGGGGCGCTCCCATGTGTCACCTCTCCTGCGCGAGCTGCACTGGCTTCCTGTGGTCTTCCGGGTGCGCTTCAAGGTGTTGGTGATCACCTTTAAAGCGCTCCATGGCTTAGGGCCGGGGTATTTGCGAGACCGCCTTCTGCCACCAATAGCCTCCCACCGGCC